CCGCCCGCAGGGGCCGGGGGCTGGCATTCGGCGCTGGAAAGAGCCGGTTGGAGTTTGCACTTTAAGCTCCCGGAGTCGGGGGCTCGGCGCTGGTGCGGGCGCCCGGCGGCGCGGGAGGATGGCGGGGGGGGGGCTGCGGGCCCTGCTGGGAGCCCTGCTCCTGCTGGAGGGGGCGGCCGCCCTCAGCTTCCTCCACCATCGCTACGAGGAGCTGGTGCAGGCCCTGTTCCGCGTGCAGGGCCAGTGCCCCTATGTCACCCGCCGGTTCCAGCGCACGGCAGGGTGACACCGGCCGCTGCCCGTCGCTCTCGGTGCCGGTCCCTGCTCAGCAGACAGCTCCTGCATCGCACCCCACCTTCCTCCTCCTCCTCCCCCTGCGGTTCCTCGCCGGGAGCTGCGGGGGGAGCCCCGCCGGGCCGCCCTCCCTTCCCCGGGAGCAGCGGGACCGCCGGGAGAGCCGGGGCCGGGGCGGAGGGGCCGGCCGCCCCCCAGAGCCTGCGGCGGCGTCTCCCTCAGCTTCCCCGGGAGACGGGGCGGGACAGCGGCCGCGGCTCCGAGCGGGGACCGGGCCCCGAGGGGGAGCGGCCGGGGCAGAGCGGGGCAACGGAGCTGCGGGCTCTCGCTACGAGGAGCTGGTGCAGGCCCTGTTCCGCGTGCAGGGCCAGTGCCCCTATGTCACCCGCATCTACAGCATCGGCCGCAGCGTCGAGGGCCGGCACCTCTACGTGCTGGAGTTCAGCGACTTCCCGGGCATCCACGAGCCCCGTGAGTATGGGGGGCCGGGGGGCAGCGGGTTGGAGAGGATGGGCTTCCTTCCCGCGCTCCCCGTGCCGCCGGGACACGGGCCGGGGAGCCCCCCTGTGCGGGCAGGGCTCCAGCGACGCCCCGGTGCCCGGCGGTGCCCGCTCTGGCAGGGACCCCACGGCCAGCCCGGGGACACGCACGCACACCCCACATGCCTGCGCTGTGCCTGTGTGGCTGCAGCCTGGCCCAGGCGTGTACTTTGGACGGAGCTCTGATTTTTTCAGCCCAGACTGACACGAGGACCCGGGCGAGTCCACCCAGCACCCCACCTGCCCTGTCACCCTCTCCCTCCCAAAACACAGGGAGAGGCTGAGACCACCCTCCACCCTTTGCTGCTGGGTAGTGGGGCAGGAGGGAAAAGTTGAGCCCTTCCATCTCCAGACCCCAAAGCGAGGGGGACAGCAAGTGAGGGACCCTGGCAGAGCGGGCACTGGGCTCCCGCAGCCCTGCTGGCCCCGTGGGCTGTGCAGCTCCTGTGCCAGGAGAGCCTCGGGGGTCTCTGCCTGCTGCCACGTGGAGCCTTGGCAGCAACGGCCCAGAGCTGCTGCCTGTGCAGCACCGAGAGGCCGCCGAGCCAGACCTTGCTGGCAGCCAGGTGTCCCCGAGGGGGCCGAGGGGCTGGGGGTGTGCACACAGAGCTCCCTCGCTTCCCCACCTTGAGCCCCCAGGGCTGCAGATGAGGCCAGGGCTCTGCCTACATTTTGCAGGATCTTTTTCGCCTTCTCAGACCCTGCTCGGTGGCTGGTGGGGGTAAAGGCCGGGGCTGAGGAGTCCGTGGTTGTATGAAAAACTGCTTGCAGCGCTGCAGGGGTGAGCGGTACCCCACCCCGCACACCCCCCCGGGACAGCCCTCCCGAACCCAGAGCATCACCTTCAGGGGTGCTGGGAGGCAGGATGGGGTGCTGCCCGCCCTCACCTCCTCGGTGCCACCCTCCTCTGGTGCAGGGGAACCTGCACGGCACTGGGGACACCTTGGGCACCTCCAGAGCACATCAGGGGCTGATTCAAAGCAAGGAGTGAGCAAAGGGCACGGGCAACGCGCCGGTGGGTTTTATACCCGCAGAGCTTGAGGAGAGCTGCTGGAAGGGCCACAGGAGGTGACGAAGATCTCCTCTGCCTGACAAAGGTCTCCTCTGCCCCAGGCAGGCAGAAGGGACCCATGGACCCTACCTGTAGCGTGGGCCACCCTCAGGCTGGTACTTCCAGCATGTACCATCAGCGCTTTGGGAACCTGCGGACCCCCTTGAAGGCCACGGAAAGTAACTCTGAAAAGCAAGCCTAGAGTTAATGGGATTACGTGCGGTAATTAGGGCTAGTGTGCCATGTGGGTAATGCTGAGGGATCTGTGTATTGAAAAAGTCCTGCCGCAGACTCAAACAAAGCAGAGGAGAATCCCTGCTGAGGCCTTATTTTTTTAAATAAAGGTTGCACATATCCCCAGGACATTTTTAATAGTTTTTATAGCCTAATTAAATCAGTTCTCATGTCTCCTGAAATCTAACCAGGTCAAAACACATTGCCCACCTGTGGTGTCTGTGCTGAGGTGCAGTGATCAAAAGATACAGAAAAGCAAAATATTTTGCCAAAATTTGATTTTTTTTCTGTAGAATCTGTCTTTAGCACGTCCAGAAGTGATGTTTCCTCCCCACACGGCACAGGCTGGGGGGGATTTTGGAAGCAGCAGGTGTGTGATGCAGGGGGCTGCAGTGCCTTCACCCCAGGGATGCTGACAGACACCGCCTGTGGGTCTGACCACTGCTGGAGGCTGGAAACCTCATGGTGCCCCGGGAGCCTCAAACTCTGGCAAGCCGACGTTTTGTAATGACACCCTGGTTTTCCCTGACCCTTTTGTGTGAAAATCAGCCTCCCTTTTTAACCCAATTCCCCTGGTGTCTCTCGTCCTGCCAGCGCTGACTGGCCTGCAACGGGGCATTTTATTTTCCCTCAAGTGACTGCTTTAAAAGCCCCTCTGGGAAAGCATCCCCAGTCCTTCACCTGTGCTGCCTCTTCAGCAAAGCAGCGAGTCCTGCTCTGGGCACTGTCTGCCCCCAGTCTCTAAATCTGTGTTTCAAAATAGAAATGTGTCTCTAAATCTGTGTTTCATTTTAGAAAAGTTAGTGGCAAGAGAGGTTTTTGCTTATAATGAAGCTGCCCAAGGGACATTTTGATCCCTATTCAACTCAGCCAGTGAGGGTTTCTCTAGGCTTGTGTCCCTGTCCCTGGAGCTGAGGAACCCCTAAACCTTTTCCTTGGAGGCAGGTGAAGGGGAGGGAGAGGAGAAGCTGCTGATGGCTCCCAGCAGGGTGGGGGTCAGGGGCTGACAGAGCAGCCAGAGCCAGCTGTGCCCTTCCCTTGAAAGAGCACAGCTCACCCGAAGCCAGGGATTGATTTTATCCTGCAGAGTTGTGAAAAGCTCCTTAAGGCATGCAGGGCCAGGAATGTGCCATGCTGGTGAGAGGCACCGAGAGCAAACTGCAAAGGGCAGAGGTGGGAGGAAGGGCCTGTCCTCTCCACTGCCACCTCCCACACAGCTGGGGGACCCCGGCATCCCGAGGCTCGGGGCAGCAGCAACCCTGCCTGTGCTCCATGGTCTCCGCACTGCATGTCCCCAGAGACCAGCCCACCTGCACATGCATCCTGTGCGCCGTGAAGGTGAGGAGCAACCTGGGGGAGAGCATGAGAGGCTCTCAGGGACCACAGAATCAGGGAATTGTCAGAGTTGGAAGGGACCTCTAGAGACCCTCCAGTCCAACCCCCCGGCCAAAGCAGGGCTGCCCAGAGCACATCACTCAGGAGCATCCAGGCGGGGCTTGAAGATCTCCAGAGAAGGGGACTCCACACCCTCCCTGGGCAGCCTCTGCCAGGGCTCTGACACCCTCACCCCAAACAAGTTCTTCCTCCCATTGGAGTGGAACTTCCCATGGTCCAGCTTGTGCCCGTTGCCCCTCGTCCTGTCCCTGGGAACCACTGGAAAGAGTCCGGCTCCATCCTCCTTCAACCCACCCTTTAGAGACTTGTCAGCATGAAGAAGGTCTCCCCTCAGCCTTCTCTTCTCCAGGCTGAAGAGCCCCAGCTCTCTCAGCCTTTCCTCAGCAGGGAGATGCTCCAACCCCTCCATCCTCTCTGTTGCCCTACGCTGGACTCTCTCCAGCAGTTCCCTGTCTCTCTTGAACTGGGGAGCCCAGCACTGGAGGCAGGATTCCAGTTGTGGCCTCCCCAGTGCAGAGCAGAGGGGGAGAATGACCTCCCTCCACCTCCTGGCCACACTCTGCCCTACGCAGCCCAGGATCCCATTGGCCTCTTGGCCGCAAGGGCCCATTGCTGGCTCCTGGAGAGTTTACTGTCCACCAGGACCCCCAGATCCTTCTCCTCAGAAGTGCTTTCCAGCAGATCCCCCCCTAACCTGTATTGGTGCCTGGCGTTCTTCCTCCCCAGGTGCAGGACCCTACACTTGCCTTTATTGAACCTCACTAAGTTCTTCTCTGCCCAGCCTGTCCAGGTCACGCTGGATGGAGGCACAGCCCTTTGGAGTGTCAGCCAGTCCTCCCAGTTTGGTATCATCAGTGAACTTGCTGAGGAAACACTCTGTCCCCTCGCCCAGGTCATTGATAAATATGTTAAACAAAACTGGACCAAGTATTGACCACTGGGGGACACCACTGGATGTCGTGGAAAAACGCAGGGGAGCCCATAGGAGAACCGTGGCACTCTCCTTCACTGAGATTTGCATTTGCCAAGGAAAATGGCTATTTCACACCGTTTATTGGGGGTTCTTTGAGCTTGCCCAGGCTCCCTGCATTAGGAATTGTCTCTTCCCCCTGTGCCAGCCCTGGCTGATGGTGTCATTCTCTGTTGCTCTCTGCAGTGGAGCCGGAGATGTCGTGGAAAAACGCAGGGGAGCCCATAGGAGAACCGTGGCACTCTCCTTCACTGAGATTTGCATTTGCCAAGGAAAATGGCTATTTCACACCGTTTATTGGGGGTTCTTTGAGCTTGCCCAGGCTCCCTGCATTAGGAATTGTCTCTTCCCCCTGTGCCAGCCCTGGCTGATGGTGTCCTCTGTTGCTCTCTGCAGTGGAGCCGGAGTTCAAGTATGTTGGGAACATGCACGGCAACGAGGTGCTGGGCCGTGAGCTGCTGCTGCAGCTCTCAGAGTTCCTGTGTGAGGAGTACCGCCGGGGCAACGAGCGGATCACTCGCCTCATCCATGACACGCGCATCCACATCATGCCCTCCATGAACCCTGATGGGTACGAAGTGGCTGCCAAGCAGGTACCAGGCAGTGATCGCCTCCTCTAGCTGGGCAGGAAGCCCTTCAGATCCCTGCGGGATCCCCTTCCCTGCACCTATGGAGAGGAGTAATCCTCCCTCTCCATGCCCTGCCAAACCCAGCCCCCTCACCTGGCATCGTTGCTCCTCACCTCCTCTGCCAAGGGCTCACACTGTGTGTCCTGTCCTAGGTGGCCCTGGCAGGTGATGGAGAAGGCTTCCTACACCTGCCTTGCTCTCCCAATAAGTTATTTGTCATGGGAGGGTCACTGCCAACCCCCTGCCCCAGGCTGGAGAAGTGGCAGCTGAATGCCACTGCCATGAGCAGACAGGGACATGAGGGCTGGCGCACAGGGAAGCCCTCTAGTCCTCGCCCAAAACCTCAGCCATTCCTTTGTGCCTAGACCTTGGGGAGATATTTTATTCACGGCTTTTTCAGTGGAGGTGGATTGTTTATTTGGCTTGTGCCTTTCTCTGTGACCCCAGAAAATGAAGATGATATTTTTACTGACTTTCTCTGTCAGTTCCAATGCTCTTTATTCTCCTGCCAGCAACACCAGATGTGTCGCAACAGGCGGTCCCCGTGACCCTGACACCCAGCCTGCCTGTGCTCACCCCCGGGATGTGCTTTTGCCCTGCAGGGCCCGGACAGCAATGGGTACCTGACGGGCAGGAACAACGCCAACGGAGTGGACTTGAACCGCAACTTCCCGGACCTCAACACGTTCATGTACTACAGCGGGGAAATCAGCGGGCCAAACCACCACATCCCGCTGCCCGACAACTGGAAAAGCCAGGTAATGGTCTGGGAGGCTGTGAGAGCTACGGTGTCCTCTTAGCGTGGCCCAGCACCCAAGCAAATACACCGTCCTTCAGCTTGCGTGGTGCTTGGATCCTTCCCCATGCCTCCTGCCTGCAGAGAAGGGATGTCACCCTGCCCTCTGGCACAGCTTGCACCTCCAGCGTCACGGCCAGCCTGGGGAGAAGGTGGCAATGTGCAGGGCAGAGGAGGTGGCTAAAGCCTGTGCCTGGGGTTTTGGGGCTGTGCTGGGAGAGCAGGGTACATCCAGAGGAGCCAGCTCTGCGAGCAGGGTGGGCGATGGAGGGGGAAGAAGCCATGAGGGCTGAGGCGGGCACCCTGCCAGGCTGGGTTTGAAGTGACTGATCCCACCACAACCTGGTGCAGAGCAGCAGCTGGCGCAGAGGTGGCTGAGCTCTTCTCCCCGTCCCCGTCCCTCTTCTCCTCGCAGGTGGAACCGGAGACCTTGGCTGTGATCCAGTGGATCAGCGGCTACAACTTTGTGCTCTCGGCCAACCTGCACGGCGGAGCGGTGGTGGCAAATTACCCCTATGACAAATCCCAGGACCAGCGGTTCAGGAGCCACCGGCGCACGGTCAACACCCCCACTCCTGATGACAAGTTGTTCCAGAAGGTGAGCAGGGCCCGCAGCCCTGGGAAGGTGCAGCGTGCGAGAGCTGGCCGGGAGGCTCTGGGTCACTGCCTCCTGCAGGAGATGAGCCAAGAAACGTACTGGAAATAACCCTTAGCAGGCTGTGGTGTTTCTGCCAGCGACCAGCTCGTGAGCCGTGGCAGGGCAGTCCCACTCTCAACCAGTCCCACCACACGGACAGGCTGGTGTTAACCCTCAGGACCCCCTTCCTCATCCACGCTGTGCTTGGGTTCCCTATAACCCCAGTATCACCAGTATCTTCAGTACCACCCAGGCTGAATCCTGCCCCCAGCTTTGCTGTGCCATCATAGCATGGATACGGGTTATTTTCCCAGAGAGGTGGCAAGGTCTGGCTGGGGGTCTGCTGAGAGCAGGACAAGGGAGGCGGGTGCCCAGCAGGGGCTTGCAGATGGCAAAGAATAAGGAATTCAATGAAAAAGCACCGGGAGCACAGGCAGACATTATGGAATACATCAGTATGTGCTGCTGATGCTGCTCGCCCTGGCTGAAAACCCACTGGAGTGGGTTTTCTCCATTGTTAAAATGCCCCAGAAAACAGTGCCTTCATTCACCGCTTCCATCAGGAAATACCCAGCACAAGGAAAAGCAAGTCTGCGTTAGAACAGTTAATGAGAAAAATAAGTCTGAGCTGGAGTTCAGCCTTCTCTGGCAGCAGAGGCTTGCCAGGACCTGCTGGGATCAGGGCTGCGCTCGAACCCAGATGCAGAGAGGCTGCTAACGATGAGGCGTAGGCTAACGATACCCTCATGGCCTCAGAAGTCAGAAATGTAGTGAAGTAACTGTTTTCCTGCTGGCAGAATGAGATTACACCAGCATCTGCACCATCATACAAGAGTATAGACTTTGCATTAGAAAATGCTAACAATGGTCTCTCTTAAACTGTCTTACACAGAGGTGGGTGCAGTGTCCCAATTTCAGCCCTGCTTTCATGTCTGAAAATAAGCAGTAATCTTAATAAGAGCAATAAACAAGTGGTTGCCAGGACCAGAAGTCACCCAAACCATTTCCTAATACAAATTTCCCTGATGTATATGGTATTTGCATCAGGGCTAATACTGGTTACTTCTCCTCATGTATCTGCTCCCCTTGTTAGTGCCATTTGCTGTGTGGGGACCAGCACTGCCTGGGTCCACCACCCTCCGCTCCCCCTCGTCTCGGTGGGAGCAGGGAAGGAGCCCCCTGTGCCATCAGCGACCCTCCAGCTTGCCAGATGTCTGCTCTCCCTCCTCCACCCTCATCTGCCCACATTTCATAGAATAGAATAGAATCATAGAATCATTCAGGTTGGAAGAGACCCTTGGGATCATCGAGTCCAACCATCTCCCCTACTCTACAAAGTCCTCCCCTACACCATGTCCCTCAGCACTGCATCTAAACGGCCCTTAAACACATCCAGGGATGGGGACTCCACCCCCTCCCTGGGCAGCCTGTTCCAATGCCCAACCACTCTTTCGGTGAAAAATTCCTTCCTAATGTTCAATCTAACCCTCCCCTGTTGGAGCTTGAAGCCGTTCCCTCTCGTTCTGTCACTAATTACCTGTGAGAAGAGACCAGCACCAACCTCTCTACAGTGTCCTTTCAAGGAGTTGTAGAGAGTGATGAGGTCTCCCCTCACCCTCCTCTTCCTCATACTAAACAGCCCCAGCTCCTAATACCTCCTTTCATACAGGTCCTGCCCACTTTGTGTTGTATTTCATGGCAGTAGAATGCAGGAACTCTCTCCTGTCTGACTTCCCTCCCAGGCTCCCCAGCAAAGCCTGGGAAAGTGAGGGATGTTTTGCCTGGAGCCGGGCAAAGTCCGGAGCGGTGACTGATAGCCGCTTTCTCTCTCCAGCTGGCCAAGACCTACTCGTACGCCCATGGCTGGATGCACCGTGGCTGGAACTGTGGGGACTACTTTGCCGATGGCATCACAAATGGGGCATCCTGGTACTCGCTCAGCAAAGGTAAGGGCTGGTGAGCAGCACCCGCAGCAAGGTGCTGAGCTGAAGAGAGGGGAAGGGGTAGATGAGACACCTCAGGACAGGACGGGGTGGGGGAGGGAATAGCACCGTTCTGGTGTCTGCATCTCTGGCTGGGAAATGGCTTGGGAAGACTGAAAGTGACTTGGAAAGAACCACAGAAGTGCCTGAGGTCTTCAGAGACCTGCTGTGTGCTGCTGGAGGAAGGAGGCATTAATCTGTTAGTGTATTTGAAAATGCTACAGCATAACTCCATCAAGACCCAAAACTGTGACCAAAGGGAAGACATATGGATATTAGGAAAAATTCTGCATATTAGGAAAAATTTTTGCACTGAAAGGGTTCTCAGCCATTGGAATGGGCTGCCCAGGGAGGGGGTTGAGGCACCATCCCTGGAGGTGTTCAAAAGACGCGATGATGTAGTGCTGGGAGGACTGGTTTAGTGATGATTCGTCTTGTTTGTTGTGTGGGTGTCTATTTTTGTCAGTTAGGTTGACGGTTGGACAAGATGATCTTTAAGGTCCCTTCCAACCTAGAAGATTCTGTGATTCTGTGATTTCTTGTAGCTGCTGGCTCCTGAAAAGTCTGGTTTAAAAAGGCATAGTGAAGAAAATGAAAATCAGCAAATTGGGCTAGAAAAAAGTTTGGAGAGCAGCTGGAAAGGGACATACAGTCCCTGAGGTACCAAACCTTCCTGAGCATCTGAAGGCAGAATAGTGAATGACCTGGCTGAAGGAGGGATCAGGCAGCCACACGGGGAGGAGGCTGCACAGAGGGAGAAGGCTCTAGTCGTTCTGTCATGGAGGGAGAAGGTTGTACCTGCGGAGCAAGGAGGGAAAGCAAGACGGTTGTGGTAGAAAATAGGCATTGGCCAGGATGCCTGGGACACAGGAGTGGGGAGGGAAGGGGGCCTCACATTCCCCTGGCCACGGGCTCTTCTTCTCCTCCAGGCATGCAAGACTTCAATTACCTCTACACCAACTGCTTTGAAATCACCCTGGAGTTGAGCTGCAATAAGTTCCCCCCTGAGGAGGACCTGGAGCGGCAGTGGATGGCCAACCGGGAGGCGCTTGTTGCCTTCATTGAAGAGGTAAGGGGGCAGTCCTGGGACCTACACCCTTCTCCTCCGGGCCCTGGTACATCCCACTCTCAGCAAAGAAGGGGGTTAAGTGGTTCAGATTCGTAAAGCCCCAACGGTGTAAGGTGAGATAAATCTCAAGGTCCATATGCAAACATTTATTAGTGTCCCACAGAGATTAGTATAGGTTGTAACAAGTCCACAGTAATTGGTTAGGCATATAACCGATTATGGCAAGCGGGGAGGTTTGCCTTGTGTTACTTAACTACAGGTATACAACAGCTTATGGCAAGTGGTACTTAAGGTCGTTACTTAACAACTCTTAACTGTTACTTAAACACGCTGAGGGAAAAGAGAAACCGAGAGATAGAGAAGGGAAAAGACAGAGAAAAAGACAGAGATAAAGAGATCACTGGTCCTGGTTCCTGAGCCTTTTTCAGGGAATCTTCCCAGGCATAATCTTCTTCTTTCTTGGAAAAATCTTTCCGAGTATGGTCTTATTTGTTCTCCCCAGGCATGTTTATTTTCCCTGTTTATGTTTGCTGACTTAGCACGGTCCACCCCCCTTGCCAAGGACAGCCTCGTCGCAGGTTTCTCCCTTCTCTCAGGTGACGTGTGGCATGGTTTGGGTGAAGAGCTGAGTACCATAGTCATACCTGTTCAGCGAGATCTCTATAATCTTCGTTAGCATACGCAGGGGTGCGTGCTTTCACATGCATTTCGCGGATAACGAAGCAAAGGTCACTTATTGGATCCAATGGCCTCAAGAACAGACAACTAGCAAGCTCCCCAGATGGGTGGCAGAACTATCTTGTCTTCATGAGGCACTCCTCCCACTGCTTTTCAGGAGCCTTACTAGTTATTTGAACACCAGGCCAGCATTATTTATTTCCTTGCAAGTGTTTGAGGCATTCCATTGAAGGCTTGGAGGGCCTTCTCCCCCTCGTCAGGGAATTTACAGGCCGTCCCTTACAGGCCCTTGCGGCCCCCGGCCCTGATGGTAGGGGACCAATGGGAGTACAGGGGTGGAAAGGAGGTGGTCGTGGAGCTCACTAGGTGCTCTAGTTGGTAGGCTTTGGGAAGGCTGTTGTGCTGTGGGCTGGCTCTGCTGGGGAGAACCAGGAGATCCAGGGGTCTGGGGAAAGGTGGGGTTGTCCCCAGAGCTCCACCCTCCTCCAGCGCTCAGCAAGACCCTCCTGAGCAAAGCAGTGTCCGTGACCCAGCAGTCTGTTTCCCTCCCTGCAGGTTCACCAGGGCATCAAAGGGATGGTATCAGATGAGAACAACAATGGCATTGCAGGAGCAGTGATTTCTGTCCAGGGAATCAGCCATGACATCACCTCTGGTGGGTTGTTGCTCCCCTTGCATGCTGTCCCTTTTGGATACACCTTTTGGGTGTGTGGGAGGAGGTCAGCAGGGGAGGCTGTAACACGTGTGGCCAGCACGGTTTGCTTCCGAAAAACACGAGCTGTGAGAAATACGCCCATGGATGCTGGACCAGGGAGGGCTTGAGAAAGCTTAGGAAAGAAAGAAGTGAGAACTGGAATGCAAACCTTATTGTGAGGGACTGCAGAAAGTCAGCTCCAGTTTTATCTGAGAGAAAGAAGAAAATGCATTTATAGATAACCAAAGGGAAGACTGAGGGAGCAGAGGGAACTCAAATATCTAAGCACCTACACAGAGCTGAGAGAGTGGATAGCAAAGGACACGATGGCAGAACAAGATGAAAGGCTGAAAGTGCAAGCCAGACCAATTTAGACCGAGAATGAAGTGCCATGTTAGTTTATCCAAGTCATGGTGGTTTCTCCTTTGCTGGCTGATTTTAACCACCTTTTCATAAACACTGTTTTCCAACCGGACGAGACATTAGACTGGGTGCAGAAAATAGGTGATATTCCAGTTCTCCAGAGGCTGGACTATGAAATTATTAAAGTTCCTTCTGGCTGTAGGTCTGTGACTCAGTGACACTCAAATATTCGATGCTTATTATGCCAATCTGCATAGGAAAGGGGAGTGTGCAAGAGGTCACAGAGTTGTGGAGCTGCAAGAGCCCTCTGGGGTCTCCTGTCCAACCTCCTGCTTGGAGCAGGATTGTCCCCAACATGACTCTGCTCAGCCATCGCTCCCTCCAGCCCATGGTCACTGCCCCCCAAGGATGGAGATGTCGCAGCCTCTCTGCTGTCCTGGGCCTTCACGGCCTCTCCTCCCTGATACCCCCTGAAGCTCCCAAGCTGCCGTCTCTGGCTGCTGCCCCTTGCCGTATTGCCTGGCACTGCTCAGAGGAGTTGGGCTCCATCACTGTTGTAGCTGCCCTTCAAGTAGCTGCTGCCTGTGGGCAGATCCCCCTCCACCTCCTCCCACCCAGCTCTCGCTGTGGGACCTGAGCTCTCCCTGTGGGTCAGGAGCTCTGGTTCTCTCACATCCCTCTTGACCTGGGGGCACCAAAATGGGACAGTATCCACGTGCAGCCTCCCTGGGACTGAACAGAGGGAGAAAATTGTTCCCTTTGACCTGCCAGCCACCTTCCCTCAACAGAGGAAGAAAATCGTTCCCTTTGACCTGCCAGCCACCTTCCCTCTTTTCCTTTGGAAGCCCCTGACTCGTGTGTATCTCACTCATACCAATTAGCCCCACTTAAGCCGAAGTGACACAGGCTGCTTGTGATGGTTACTCAAATTTGCGATACCCATCCAGTTCCATAGGTGGGAATATACTCAAATTGTCTAAGTAATCCATAATGTGCTGCTGTCTCACCGTTGGCCATCCCCTGTCCCTAACCATACCAGCTCCTGGGGCTTCCTTACGCAGGGAGAATCGGGGGGGGGGGGGGCAGCTGAGCTGATGAGCAATTAAAACCCTGCTGATAACCCAAATGTGGCAAAATTGTATATGTCAGGAACTAAAGATTGCACTAGGTGTAAGGAGTCAGACGGGAGCTGTGATGGCCCTGAGGGCTGCTGTCACCTGACGGGCGAGTGCCCAGATTTATAGACTCCCTGCAGGGGCACAGCCAACGCTGCTGCACCGTCCCCTTTCGCTTGGTGTTTATTTACAGACTGACCTCTACTCTGTGGCACTAAGGAGACATCTCATGCAGTCTGCCAATATAAACCCAGCCTCACAGTAGACAGCAGATCTAGAAGGAACGCCAAAAATTGCCTGGGTTTTGAAGGCTATGCATCCTCAAGGAAGTATGCTCAGCAAGAGCTACTGCAAGAGCTTTCACTCTGCTCCTTGTGCATCCTGAGGGCTTTCTCTTCCCGTCTTGTGTTCCAGGTGATATGGGGGATTATTTCCGGCTGCTGCTGCCTGGCACTTACACTGTCACAGCCTCTGCAGAGGGGTACCAGCCCCAGACGGTGACAACAACAGTGGGCCCAGCTGCACCTTCACTGGTGAGTCAGGCTGCATAGTCACCGGGGTGTCTCCAGATGTCTTCACCCCAGGGTGAGAGAAATGTCGTGGAGGAGATGTCTAGTGAGCAGCAGAGGAAGGAGATGGGCTGTAGAGCGTTGCCAGTGGGTACAGCCCTGGCAGACACAGGGCTCCCGGCAGCTCCCAGAGAACAGGGTGAAGGCAATGCCATGCACCTCTCGGTTCCTTACTGGGAGTGTACAGCTGCACTGGGCTACTGTGCCAACTCCTGTGCCGCTCTGCCTCTTGGCCGTGGGGAGAGCCCCTGGCTGCTCGGGCTGCTGCTCTCCCTCTGTCCTCCCCGCTCTCCAGGACGTGATAATGCGGAGGAGGCTCCATATCCCCTCGGCTCTGTGGGTTTCAGTGCTCTGCTATCATCTCCATCCTACCTGGAACCAAACACATTACCAAACTCACAGCAAGGGGCTGAAGTCTGCCCTTTCTGCTGAGAGCACTCGAGACAGATGGGGACTGGGGTGCCAACAAAGAAGACCCAAACACCTTTGGAAGATGAGGTGAAACCAGGTGGTCTTGAGAGCACTGTGGCCCCTTACAGAGCCCTGCTGAGGGCAGGCTGCACAGCTAGAAGTTAGTTATAAAAAGAGTGGGTGGTGATCCCTGCCCCTGCTGTTGCCTTGTGAACATAGTGGTCCTGCAGATGGAGCCTCCTCTGAGAACTGGCAAGAACCCCCCCGGCTGCAGCATCCTGGCACATCATCTGCCTCACTGCCCGTGTGCTGCTCAGGCTCTGCTGTAAATACACTGCTGTGGTTCTCCCACCCTCCGTCCCTTCCTCCCACCCTAGCCAGGCTCTGAAGTTCTTCCAGAGCTGCCCTTTTCTCAGGATTAGAAGCCTTCTAATTTTCGTCCTAAATTTATTTATGGTCAGTTTATCCCTATTTGTTCTTATGCCAACGTTGTGCTTTAAATAGCCCTTCTTCTTCGCCAGTATTTATTCCCTGAAGTATTTATAGAGAGCCGTCAAGCCCAGTCCCAGCCTTTGTTTTGCTAGGTTAAGCACCCAGCTCTTTGGCTTTCCTTTCTAAAATAGATTTTCCTTTTACCACGTTACTGTAGAAGACTGATTTGTTCCCTCATGGCCTGATTTCTGCAGATCTCCCCTCACAGCAGCCCTCCTGTCTCATTTCCTCTGCCCCTGCAGCACCTCCCCTACTCACTATTCCCCCCGTCCCTCCCCCAGGGAGCCCATGCAGCCCCTCTCCAGTTTCACCTTTCTGTGTGGCCTCCCTGTTCCCTGTTTTTCTGACACTGTGCCCTGCATGCTCCTTGTCCTCCTCTCCCTCTCCTAACTGCTTGCGGGGCTGTGGTGGATGGAGGTTTCTTTCCTGCATGTTTTTTTGCCTGGATCTACTAGAAGCACTGGTTGCTGAAAGACTATTAATCAGGATTCGGCTAATGAGATGCCATGGGAAAAGGACTGTCTGTCCTTTCAATACAGAAAGTATTCTGTGTATTAAATATTATGAGATGCAAAGCAATACTTTTCCTCTATTCTCTGGTAAGAAAAGAAAGAGCACAGCTCATCTTCCAAACCATCTTAGGACGTCACGTTGCCACAGGAGCAACTCTCTGCATAAGACATGGAGCTGATTGCTGGTATGACATTTTCCACAGGAAAAAAAAAATATGTTTCCAGTTGATTTAAGCACTGAGTTCCCACTGTATTCTAACACTGGCTGAGGCCTCCTATCTCATGTCTTGGCTCAAGAGTCATCTTCAAAGGCTGGTCCTACCTGGTCCAGAGGCAGGTCCTGCAGACCACTGAGCCAGCAGAGCACACACAAGGTTACACGGTTATTTTTGTTCTTCAGGTGCATTTCCAGCTCAAACAAGATGTGGTGAGGAAGGCCCCGGAGTGTAAAGCCTCAGGCACACGCACGAACAACAAAGCCCTTCAGAAGAAGGTAGTGCCAAGAGCCACCCGCCAGTGGACCCAAAGATGAGGCCAGCTCACTTGGCTGAGAGCTGGGGGAAGCCATTTGTACGAGGCCTGGCTGATGACTCCAGCCAGTGAACTTTCCAACAGTCCAGCGTGAAACTAGCCCAAATGATTAGGTTATTAAACGAGGAAGTATTTAATCCCTGAGCAAGTCGTGAAGTCATTCACACCAAAACATGCCGGAGCTGCGGGTCCCCAGGCAGCGTGTCCGGAGCTGCTGAGCTCTGTCCCTGCACTGGCTCCCTCCAGGAGAGCTCTGCTCCCTTTACTCCTGGACTCAGTTCCTACAGCCCACATGAGATGCCCAGACACTGGTGCACAACAGGGGGGATGAATCCAAGCCCTGGTCTCTGCTGCACTCACAACCTGGGCACTAGTCTTCTGAGTGTGAGTGCCATGCTTTTCTGCAGGTAAGGATGGGTGCTGACCACCCTGAGGTTAGGGGGAGGTCAGTTTTAAAGCAGTCAGTGATGTGACCAGCTCTGAATGGAGTTTGTCCCGCGTGTAGCACAGCTCTGCCTGGTTGGCAGCACCAGAAATGGAAATACAGCACTGGGAGGTGGTGGTCCAAGGTCATCATCTGGCTGGTGATTTAAGGTGTATCTTGATGTGCAGATGGGACTATCTGGTAGCTGGTTTGGATTAGTTGTAGTCAGACAGGCTGAAGTGATACAAGCTGGCAAAAGCAAAGGATTATCCGGTCTCCTTATGCCTTCAGATCCAAGCCAGATGGCTGACTGAAGGCTCTGCTCTAGCCAACACAAACTATTAGTCTGTGTGCAGGAGCAGCTACGTGAGGGCTGACGACCGGCAATGAGTAGGAGTACGGGACCGGTGGTTTGATATTCCTTTGAGACAAATTCCCTGAACCTTGGTCCTGTCAATGTGCAAGAGGGAAGTGCTCGATGCCAGCAGCGTGCTGTGCAGGTACAGCAGGAGCCACTTGAGTTGTAATTGGGTTAGGGAAGAAGTGACCCATAGCTCAGTGAGGTGGGGTGCTACAGACTGGGCCTTAAAATGCTGCTTGGACAGCATCCCTGTCTGGGCAGGTTTGGAGTGGAAGCAAGAGTAGAAACAAAGCTGGTTATTATCTTAAGCAGGCGAAACCTCTCTACCATTCTTCATACAAAATAAGTAACTCCAGAGGAATAAGCACTCCCACCCACGTGCACCACATGGTGGGGCGGGTTATCCCAGTTCCCCCCCAGAGCCCTCCAGTGCACTGGCTCTCGCCATGTCTCAAGCCTGTCCAAAAAGTGTCCCCCAGACATCCCCTTGCACCGCTTTTGCAAACATCTCTTCATTTCTTGTGAGCAACCTCTACTGCCAGACTGCACAGGCAATGTTCTACACCTCGTCCCTCACTGTCACCTCCTCCTCTGTCTCTGCTAGAAGATGCCAGTGGCATTTCCAGCCCGAGCAGCACACACGCACTCCTGTAACTCTGCCTGCAAACAGGAGCTCTTTCTGTGTCATGCCTGTTCCTGCAGAAGCAGAGCAAACTGTCCCTCAGAGGGTATCTGTTCAGGCTATTGCAACAACATGCAGAAACGGTATTGCACTTGACCTTGGCTGTGAGTGATTTTGGTCTGCAGAGTCGAGTGTGGGCTGGAGACACCGGCCAGTTCTGCATTCACAACCAAAGCTGAATTCAGATTCTCTTCTTTTTTATCTTTTGGTGGCAGAAGGAAGTGAAAAAGGAGGGTAAGGCTGAGATGTTCAAACTCCGATGTGGTTTGACATCTCTTTCCCTGGCCAAGTCCAGCAGCATTACTCCAGATGCTGGACCCTTCTGCCAGTGCACATAGAATCATAGAATTTTTATATGGGGTTGGAAGGGACCTCTGGAGATCATCTAGTCCAACCCACCCGCCGGAGCGGCTCCACCCAGAGCAGGTCCCACAGGAACTTGTTCAGGTGGGTTTTGAATGTCTCCAGAGAAGGAGACTCCACCACCTCTCTGGGCAGCCTCTTCCAGGGCTCTACCATTCTCACAGTCAAGAAGTTCCTCCTCATGTTTAAGTGGAACTTCTTATACTCAAGTTTGTGCCCATTTCCTCTTGTCCTGTCACTGGGCACAACTGAGAGAGGACCAGCCCCATCCTCCTGACACCCACCCTTGAAGTATTTATAGGTGTTGATCAGATCCCCCCTCAGCCTTCTCTTCTTCAGACTAAAAAGCCCCAAGTCCCTCAGTCTTTCCTCATCAGAGAGATGCTCCAGGCACTTAATCATCTTTATAGCCCTCTGCTGTCCCCTCTCCAGCAGTTCCCTGTCCTTCTGGAACTGGGGAGCCCAGAACTGGTCCCAGTGCTCCAGCTGGGGCCTCCCCAGGGCAGAGCAGAGGGGCAGGATGACCTCCCTCCACCTGCTGCTCACACTCTTCCTGATGGCCCCCAGGATGCCATTTGGGCATATTGTTGGCTCATGGGCATCCTGTTGTCCACCAGGACTCCCAGGTCTTTCTCCTCAGAGCTGCTCTCCAGCAGGTCACCCCCAACCTGTGCTGGTGCAGGGGGTTATTCCTCCCCAGGTGCAGCACCCTACACTTGCCCTTGTTAAATTTCATTAGGTTTCTCTCGGCCCAAATCTCCAGCTTCTCCAGGTCTCACTGCATGGCTGCACATACACCCAAAAAATGTCCTGGTGGGCGTGCAGGCGGGATGAAGGCGGCCAGCCCACGTCCCACAGCCTGGGCCCATGCAGCACGCAGAAGGGTCTGCTGTCACCATGTGTCCCACCCACGTGTGGGAAGACACTGCTGCCCTCAACCTACTATGGCTGATGAGCAATGAAAGGTCTCTCAGAATTAGGAGGGCGGAATTAGCCTTCAGGTGGCTCATTCAGCTGGGCAGTCCCTGAACAGGGTGATGCTTGTCCTGCCCAGAGCTGCCCATGGGGCTCACGTCCCGGCATGGCCTGGCTCAGCCCTGCTGGCTGCAGGGGTGCTCTCGTGTTGCCCTCTTGTGGTCCTGGGAAATGTAGGATCATCTCAGTTCCCCTTACTGTCCAGAGCAGAGTTCAGAGGAGGGGGATTTCTTCTCTGGAACCGGGCAGCCAGCCCAGGAGATCACATCACTCGCCCTCAGAGACTGCTGTGGGCTTGGCAGTGCAGCAGCAAAATTAGAGTCTCAGTCGCAAGCTTTTTCCCCCCACAAGAGGGCTCCTAGGAGATACAGCCTTCTGGAGGACTCTCTCTCTGGGCTGGGATTTGTCCAGCTCATTCTCCTCCCAGCTCTAAATATTTTTGTGTTGAACACTTTGGTAAAGCTCCACTTGGCCACGGCCAAGCTCTCCACATGAAAACAGGGTTACAAAATGTTTCTGAGGCAGCACTCTCTGAAGCACGCCTCTCAAAGCCTTGCCGTGAACTTAGACCCCAGTTTTGCAAGAAGCGTGGCCTAAAACTGGCACCAAACCTTCGGACATAACATCTGCAGTGCAGTGGCTGTGCGTTCTTTTGAGGCTTCACCCAAGGCAAAAGCAGTTGACAGGTTTCTGTCAGTAGACACAGTGAACAGTCGATCCTCCCCATCCTCTCTGGGCCACTCATGGTTTTGTGACCTCTTCCTCCACCCTATGTCCTTCTTCCAAGCTGAAGAGCCCCAACCTACATGGTTGTTCACTGTTTCCACAACTCTGAGCATCCTTACTGCCTGCCTCCGAACCTTCTTCCATTCTCATTTACCCTTTCTGAGGTGAGGGGACCAGAACTGTGTGCAGGCACTGGAGAAACATGTGAAGAAGGTGAAGCCAGGCACAGAAGAATGAACCAAAACTCTCACAAGCAAGACTGCGAGGATTGTGGGTTGAGCAGGAACATCAGAGGGCAGGGCGGGCGGGACTCTGTGCATGTGGTGTGTGCTGCTTTCTGGGGCTGGCTTAAAGGAGGCAGAAAAAGGGACAATACAAATAGCTGAACTCAAAGAAGAGTGAGGCAGCTTTTGCTGCAGGCATCAGCAGAGGTGGGTTGGTTGTGGCAGTGACCTGAAAGGCTGCAGGAGGGATCAGAATGATAAAAAAAAGCTCACACATCAATACAAGAGAGATATCGAGGTGCTGGAGTGGGTGCAGAGGAGAGCAATGAAGCTGGTGAAGGGCCTGGAGAACAAATTGTACAAAGAGTGATTGAGGGAGCTGGGACTGTTCAGTTTGAGGAAGAGGAGGCTGAGGGGAGACCTCATCACTCTACAGCTACTTGAAAGGACATTGTAGAGAGGTTGGTGCTGGTCTCTTCTCCCAGGTAATTAGTGATAGAACAAGAGACTTCAAGCTGCAACAGGGGAGGTTTAAACTGAATGTTAGGAAAGAGTTTTTCACAGCAAGAGTGGTCAGGTACTGGAACAGGCTGCCCAGGGAGGTGGTTGAGTCACCATCCTTAGTTGTAGTCAGACAGGCTGAAGTGATACAAGCTGGCAAAAGCAAAGGATTATCCGGTCTCCTTATGCCTTCAGATCCAAGCCAGATGGCTGACTGAAGGCTCTGCTCTAGCCAACACAAACTATTAGTCTGTGTGCAGGAGCAGCTACGTGAGGGCTGACGACCGGCAATGAGTAGGAGTACGGGACCGGTGGTTTGATATTCCTTTGAGACAAATTCCCTGAACCTTGGTCCTGTCAATGTGCAAGAGGGAAGTGCTCGATGCCAGCAGCGTGCTGTGCAGGTACAGCAGGAGCCACTTGAGTTGTAATTGGGTTAGGGAAGAAGTGACCCATAGCTCAGTGAGGTGGGGTGCTACAGACTGGGCCTTAAAATGCTGCTTGGACAGCATCCCTGTCTGGGCAGGTTTGGAGTGGAAGCAAGAGTAGAAACAAAGCTGGTTATTATCTTAAGCAGGCGAAACCTCTCTACCATTCTTCATACAAAATAAGTAACTCCAGAGGAATAAGCACTCCCACCCACGTGCACCACATGGTGGGGCGGGTTATCCCAGTTCCCCCCCAGAGCCCTCCAGTGCACTGGCTCTCGCCATGTCTCAAGCCTGTCCAAAAAGTGTCCCCCAGACATCCCCTTGCACCGCTTTTGCAAACATCTCTTCATTTCTTGTGAGCAACCTCTACTGCCAGACTGCACAGGCAATGTTCTACACCTCGTCCCTCACTGTCACCTCCTCCTCTGTCTCTGCTAGAAGATGCCAGTGGCATTTC